AAGTGCCCCCCAAATCTTTTTTTTTAATTAAAAAAAATTTTTTTAAAGTATTGGCTCCATGCCCAATGTGAAGCTTGAACTCACAACCCTGAGATCAGGAGTTGCATGCTCTATAACTCTTCTCTTTTTGAAAATATTTTTTAATGTTTATTTTTGAGAGAGAGCGAGACAGAGTGCAAACGAGGAGGGACAGAGAGAGGGTTAGAGAGAGAATCCCAAGCAGGTTCCACGCCGTCACCTCAGAGCCCAGTGCAGGGCTTGAACTCATGAGCCGTGAGATCACGACCTGCCGAAGTCAGACGCCCGACGGACTGAGCCACCCAGGGGCCCCACTCTGTAAGTAACTCTTTTTAAAACTGATTTTTTTAAGGGGTGCCTGACTGGCTCAGTCCATAGAGCATGTGGCTTTTGATCTTGGGGGTGTGAGTTCAAGCTCCGTGTTGGGTGTGGAAATGACTTAAAAATAAAATCTTTAAAAAAATGTATAAAACTGATTTTTTAATAGAAGCACATGTATCGTTATGGTAAAAAATTAAAACTTATATAAAAAGAAAAAAAAGAAAGATCCACTGGCTATTAGTTGGAGAACATGCTGGAATGAAATGGCCACACCAGGAGTTCCAGTGAGAGGGGAGGTGGGCTTGGTGCCATCGTTCCCAGAGTGGGGAATGTGGCAGGAAGGAAGCCTTTCAGGGAAGGTGGGGACTCAGGCGGGGGGGTATGGAGACTTTGAGGTGCCCATGGCACAGGTGAGGGGTGCTTGAGAGGCTTCTGGGTAAGGAAGGAGGGTTTCAGGAGCGCCCTCTCAGAAAAGGAACCATACCCTGTGAGCAAAGCTCTGAGAATAAAATTCCCATCCTGAAACAGATGACTGGGGTCCTGAGAAAACGACTCTGCCTGCCTCTCGGAGTGAAATCAGAGGTCACGGCAACAAGGCCACCCTGCTCCCCAAATCAGTGGGTCAGAAAGAGTTAGGGAGACAATCAGTTTGGGGAGGAAGCGTGGGGGAAGGGACACAATGGCCACTGACACCTGCAGTATCAGCCTGGTTCTAAACACCCCCCCACTCCCCCCCACCCCTCGCTTGGCTCCCCAAGGTCACAGGGCCAGTCAACTCCAGAGTCAGGGATGAGAACGCAGAAGTCAGTTTTCTCCTCTGCAAAAAGAGGGCCCTGAGCCCGCTCAATGTCCGTGCCACATGGAACACTTTCCCCCTCCCTTCCCTCTCCTCCCCCATCTGATTTTCTCCCGAACTCTGCCTTCAGACAAGAGCTCCCCAGGCCAGAGGGGCGGAGTCTTTGAGGAGCCTTTGAGGGGTGGGGACTGACCTCCCTTAATGACCCACTTCTTTCTGTGTGGAGGGGGTCAGACCTAGTTGATTCGGATTCCTTCCTGGGCTGGGAGACCCTCAAGGTCCCTCGCTCTCAATAAAACCCACACGGGAAGTAGGGAGTCTAGAGAGACCCAGGGAACGTGGATGGGGGTTGAGTCCTGGCCCTCTGTGAGGTCCACCCTCTCACATCCCCGACACCCCACCCCTTCTCTCCAAAACTGACCTTGAACCGGTGGTCCTGACTTTGCCTGGCCTTGTGGGACAGTGCCTGCCCCTGCCCAGCTGCCCAGGCAGTTCCCGCCAGGCCAAGGTTAATCTTTAACCAAACACCAGGCTCTGGGGGCTCCCGGGATCCAGGGGTGTCTGGCTCAGCGGCCCCAGGACCCCGTCCCGGTGCACCGGGACAGCTGGGACAGCTGAGCTGGGCACTGCTCTGTCCTGGTGACCTTGTAGCTGGGGCGCGATCAGGCAAGAGGCCCGTTTGCCCGCCACGCGGGTTTAGATGGGGTAATAACAGGTGTGGGGGAGCCCTGAATGCCAGGATGTCCACACCAGCCCGGTCTCTGGGCTTCCTGTGATTCTCATTCCCGGGACCTGGGCCCCTCTTCACCCCCAGCCGCCGGAGAACCCCTAGGTGTGCGTTGTCTGCAGTGAATATTTTCGCCCAGGCTCCTGGCGTGTTTTTCTACCTTTTATCCATCTGCCTTGCCAGTACATTCACTCAGTACTTGAGAAGTTGGGCACTGTCCTTGATCTTGCAAATGTAGGAATGAGCAAGACAGGTTATCTGCCCAGAGGGGTCCAGACGTGTGGGTTCTGAGGCTGAAAGCGGAGGCAGGGCCTGGGTCCCACTCCGCCCCCCCCACCTTCCCTGCCCTGCCAACACAGGGCCACGGTTCACGGTAAGCAAGTTAGAGGGACGAGGGATGCCTTGTGGGGTGAGGAGGGGCTTAGTGCCCCAGTGAGGCATGAAGGGGGGCAGGGGGACTGGGGGTGGGAATAGGCCCACGGACAGAGCGGCGGTGGCTTGGCCGCGCGGGCAAAGGAGACTGGGCAGCCTCCGGGCCTCAGTTCTGCCCCCTGCGCAAATAGTAGGTGGGAGCTCCCCTCCCCCTGCCCCTCCCCCCCATACCTGGGGGAGCCTATGTGGGGGAGGCTGGGTGGGTGGGTAGGCACACTGCCTGCCCTCCCCACCTCCTGGAGCTCTGACTTTCCCCAGAGCTCCGCCTCCTTCCTTCGAAGGGAAAGAGGGTCTGGGGCTCAGCCCCAAGCTGCCGCCCTGGCTTCACGACAGCCTTAGGGTGACGGGGCTGGGCTGGGGGTGGGGGCAGCAGTGAGACCTTGGGCCCCGTCACTCCCCTTGGTTACTGTGCACCTTCCTCTCCCTGCCCTGCCACTCAGGCTGGTTGGCTTCTGGGGGACAGTGCCCTCCAGCTGGGCCCTGCCTGCTCTGGACACTCAGGGAAAGTCCAGGCCCCAGCACTCCCATCGGAGCGGCTCTGACCTGTCCCACCTGGGAGCCACAGATGGGGACAGATACGTGTGCCTCCAGAGGAAGGTGACCCCCTCACCCCCAGGGGCTCCTCGCATGTCTCTGGCTCGCACTGTTCAGGGCACCCCCAGCATGGGTGGCCTCACACAGCCCCGGGCCCTTCCCCAGGGTCCTCCCCTTCCTTGTCACCTGTATTTTCCTCCTCATCACACAAGACCGTGTCAGCAGGACCTGGGGCCACTCTGCCACCCCATTGTTAATGCAGGCCTCCCCGCCACATCCCCACCCCCGACAGGCCCGGGCCTGCCCCGCGGGCCAGCCCACTGCCCCCTGCCAGGAGTCCAAATACACCTGTTTACCTTTGGGCCTCAGCCCGGGATGGAAGTGCGCCTGACTCATGACCGCCTCTCCCCCAGCCCTCTCTCCCCTCCCTACCTTCCAGCCCTCCGGCTGTCTTCCTTCCGCAGGTGTGGGTCCCCAGAGCGCGGATGGGGGTGGCGTAGACAGTCCTGCCCTCAGCTCTGCAGGGGGCCTGGCCCATTTGCTCCAGGACTGCAAGGTGCTCCGGAATCCCCGGGACCTTCCAGACACTAGAGAGTCACTGGAGGGGGTGGGGGTGGGGGCTGTCCTGTGGAACAGGATGTGCTGGAGCCGGGACGGAGGGCCCCCAAGGTCTGAGCTCCTGCCTGCCCCCTCCCCATCACATTCCTGGCTTGGGGACCCATGGGGGAAGGAGAGCAGGGGAAGGTGGTGCCTCTGGAGACCGAACGCTGGCTCCCTGCTTCGGGAAGGCACTGTCCCCACAGTCGGGCACGAAGTGGTTCAGGGGCTTCTCACCTCAAAGGTGGGGATCAGAGGAGATAAGGAGCCTGCTGGGAGAGCCTGAGTCAAGGGCGCCAAGTCACACAGCCCGAAAGAGAGAGAACCACGCAGTGCAACGTGTGAGCCTGGCAGGGGGGCAATCTGCAAATCTGAATAGAGTCTGTGGTTCGAGGGACCACCCGTGAGCGCTGGTTTCCTGGCCGTGGGCGCGGCGCTAGGCCTCCATGGGAGCGTCCTTGTTCTAAGGAAATACACGCTGAAGTATTCAGTGCTGACAGGGCATCATGTCTGTAACTTACTGGCACATGGCGCGAAATCTATTTAGATTGGGATTGCATTGAATTTATATATAAATAGGAGGTAAATGAACATGGTTAAAAACCCACCCAGCCAAGGGCCAGGGCAGGGATAGATCGGGCTCTCCCCACAGCCTGTTGCCCCGGGGGAGAGTTTGTGAAGCTCAGCGGCCCAGCCCCTCTATTGGAAACATCTGGAGACCCTTAAAATCGCTGATGCCTTGGTCCGACCCCACCTGTCAATCCAGAGTGTACTCCCTTTCGGCCAGGACTGGAGGCTGATCCTGGGGGTCAATGGGAAGGCTGGGGCCCCCTTGTTCCCCTCTACTGGGGACCGTGGCTAGGAAGGCTGGTGGGGGTGGTGGGGAGAGAGAGGGAGGGGTGAAGGGAGTCTCAGTGGAGGCAGCCGCCTCAGCCTGCTGTGGGGCCGGGGTGGGCTGGCTTCTGGGCTCAGGAAGGCCCCAACCCCCTGGCCCAACAGTGTGTGCGCCCTCCCGAAATATTTGGAATAATTAGCAAGTGAAAGCCGCAAGTTAGCACAGGGAATGCCAGGTTGGCCTAGAGCCAGACTGGAGAGAAGGGAAAGAAAGGGGTTTCGGGAGAAAGGGGTCTGTGGAGGCTGGGCAGGGTTGTGCGAGACAGTGCTCGTTTGTGCCCCGGGTGTGGGAGGGGGCTGGGTGGAGAGGTGGGCTCCAGACAAAGCTGGGGGGAGGGACTGAAAGGTGCCGCTGTGCGTCACCCAAACACACATTTCCCGTGCCTCAGTTTCCCCATTAGGACTCCGGTAGGCTGGTCCCTCGTGGGGGACCCCCCTGGTGGCCTTTTCCTCCTCCGGCCTGCGTTGGGCCTGGGAGGGAAGGCGCCTGGCTGGGTGAGCACACGCCGCGCTGGGGCCCTCTGGCCTCACACCCTGTCCCTCCAGGAGAGGACCCAGGGAGGGTGATGCTGGAGACAGGCCCAGGCCAGGACCGCAGACTCAGGCCGGCGAGCCCAGGCAGGCCCTCGCGGTCAGGGACATGTGAGCGTGTCCCTGGGCATGCTTGGCCCTTGTGAGTCCCCAGGGCCAGGGAGGGGGCTGCGTCTCCTTTGTCGCCCT